TGGAGGTGTGAGGTCCACATACCAAAGAACACCCTGTTCGCCTTCCCAACAAACTCCGAAAGTTGCTCCATCCCCGCTGTTGTTTTAATAAACATCTGGCGACGTTGGATCTCAGCTTGGCGCATTTTGACCACCTATCAAAACACTGAACAACTGGGTTGTTGGGTTTGTTGGAGGGTCTACCTTCCTTGGTACTTACAAGTCAGACCATTTTCCTGCCGCCTGACCGTCGCGTGCTATAGTACAGGTCGGGCATCCAGCCCCCGGCATCCAGCTGACTCTGAACGCAAGGATTACACCCGTGTGGGTGAACGCTTCATGTGACATTGTCTGTGCAAATTGGCAGCTGGGAGCTGTCGCACTGAATGTCCTGCTGTGCTATTCAATTCTATATACACATGTCATGTGTTGTTATGCCAAAAACACTCAGCGACAGCTTCCAGCAATGGGTTGAAAGAAGTCACATCAGCCGAAGGTTCAGCGCATGTTCAGCTTACAATGCAAGCCCTTTTTTGTGGGGAAGGTAAACATGTCAAACCAATGTCTAGCCTTGATGCAAAGATCGGCAGTGCTTGAGACTTCGTTCAAAAAAACTCAGACTGCAACTGCAGGTGCACACCGCCGCCGCCGTTTTTGGGCAGCGCAAACCGCTGGTGATACCCGGACAGGCATGATGTTTAGCCTGCCGCTTGGGCCTTCAAGGCAGCGACAAAGCCGGCCACATCTTCCGTCTCCATGAAGCGCATGTAGATCTCGGTCGAACGATGAACATCTTTGAGACAACACTGTTTGGAAAGAAGAACATGGCCACGCCTCTGTAAGCGGCCCCGCTGAATATGTGTGTTTCTAACATGTACTTCAAATGTACTTCGGTGAAGTTGGCAACCATTTCAGTGCTTTGCTTTCGTGTGTTTATTGATGACATGCATGAGCACTGCGTTGTACTGGACGTTTTGTTCTGAAAGCCGGAAGTCCAAGCAAAAGCTGTCCGTGTTGCAACTGAGAATCTAAAGGAGTAAAGTCCAAAAACAAAGGATCTGAGTCCAAACCACAGTCAACCACCACAGCAGGCAAGAATTCCGAAGCAAACAGCAAAGCAATGCTCAACAAAGAATCCAGGTAATCACCACTGACACGCCAAAAAGATCCAAAAAGGACGCAAGCAAACAGAAGGAGGACCGCAACCAGCAAGCAGTGTGTGTGCGTACGGGCCCGTCGCGGGCGGCCTGTGCATTAAACTGATGGCCGAAACAGCCAGACACACAAGAAGACTGTTCCTAGTAGCGTTCTTGTTCCTAGTAGTAAGGCCAGGAGCCCCTAGTAGCGTCCTTGCTCCTAGTAGCGATGCCAGGAGCCCCTAGTAGCGTCCTTGCTCCTAGTAGCAATGCCAGGAGCCCCTAGTAGCGTTCTTGTTCCTAAGAGGTCAAAGTGTCAAGAGGTCTAAGAGGTCTGAAGTCTCTGTCTGTTGCTTCGATGATGCTTGCTTCCAACATTGACAACGAACTCTAAACGCCTCTGGCCCCAACCCCCCAGCCAAACATATTGAGCAACAACTTCATAGCAGCACGAAACATATTGGTCAACACCTTCATAAGTGCACAGTCGAGCGAAAAAATGCTTACATTCCATGGGACGCTATTGGGGGCGTTAGCAAGAACACGTAACAGCCCTTGCTAGTTTTAAAGCGATATGCAGCCTCAAGATTCTTGTGAAAGGTGGCTTGACCCATGGTCTTGTGGAGAACATGCAATGCGCTGCAAGGTGATGAGAGCGATTTGGAGCAAATCTCTTTTGGGCTGTCAGCTCAAGAGGATGTACTCAATCTCTGTCTGTTGCACAGAAGACCCAATTTAAGATTCAAGAATTGAAAGGTTCAATAGAACAAAGTCTGAAGCTTTCGGATGGTTCGTGTCACACATCCTTTCATACCTCTTGTTTCTTGTCCCTGAGTGCCTCACTCGCAGAAATGATTGAGCCCACGGATTCGCAGAATCCCTGGCATGGCAGCAAAGCCGGTCCTTCTCCCAAGCCTCAAAGTGCCGGCAGCCAAAACAGGGCCAAGCCTCCCTAGTAGCGATGGCCTCCAACCTAATAGCAATGGCCTCCACCCTAGTAGCGTTAAAGAGAGTGTGAGAGTGTGAAAGAACGTGAAAGACCATGAAAGAGTGTCAAGAATCTGAGGAATCCAGGAAACCAATCAAAACGGCCACGAGAACATACAAGAACATCATCTAGATTCTAGAACATCTAATGATGTTTGTTCTGCAGGCCAAGCTCGCTCAAGCTCGCTCAAGCTCTCATCTTCGCCTCAAGCCAACCATCCTCTGCAAGCGCCGATAAGAGGCTTGTCATATGGGTCCTGCAGCGTCCCCCCAGGTGAATGGCGGACATTGATCATTAAACCTTAGACAGGCTTTGTCGTGTATCCCCAGACGGCAGGCGCTCTCCTCAACAAGAAGCCATTGAGGCGTACAAAGGAGGACACGCGAGGATTGCCCTCACAAAAGCTGTTAAGAAACCACAGCTACATTAACATGCGTCGAGAAAGCAACCCATGCTGCCCATTCTTAAATCCATTGAATTAAACAGCAAATTACATCAAGACACGGGCGGAATTCTAGGCACGATATCAGGCGGGCCTTTGGTGAGGCAAGCCGGTAGTCCATGGACCTGATCATCTTGAAGTGTTTCCACTTGCCATCGTTCCTATCTTGCGGCGTGTCACATCTCAGAACTCAGGTAGCAACCAATTCTCTTGCGGCTCCCATTCCCGGTATGTACCTTGGAGACTTCGGCGCTGTGACTCTGAAGGGGCCGACCTTTCTCCGCACCGACCGTACTCTGCGGTGCCCCGACCGTTTGGTTGACCGTATGGGCCAGACCTGGCAAGGCTTGTCACATTGCGGTCACATGTCTACAGTCTACACATAGTAGGGGGTTGTGCTGCACAGAAGAAAGTAGGCACATGGATGAACATTAATACTTTGGCTTCTGCGGCAGTCTGAGGAACAGAAAATACAGGCTCAAGGTTGAATGTGTCTGTGCATGCTCATGGCGTGGTGCAAAGTGCCTGTCCAAGTAGCGTAGGGTCTCTAAGAATCGATTGTAAGGAAAATGGATCGACCAGAGATTGAAAGGGCATCCCATGAAAGGGTTCACATTGTATGGGTCAAAGCAAAGTCGACCCAAAGAACTTCGGAGATCTGTTTACTTGTTCTGATATGCCTCAACCCCGGCCTCAGCACGGGCGGTTGACCAGGGCCGAGTGCCTCAACGACAGAGTTTGTCATTGCCTTTCTTCAATTTCATATATACATATATATCTGGGTGGACGTTTCGACTGGTTTGAAAAATCTTTTTTGTCATGCAGGGATGGTGGGGTTTGCAAAGCCTTGTGTTGATAGAATAACAAACTCTGCAAAAATGCATAGGTTTCTTTCAAATTTCATTCAAATTCATTCAAATTTGGCTCAAGTTTGCAAGACCAAAATTTGAACTAAGTTTGAATGAATTTGAATGAAATTTGAAAGAACCATGTGTAAGGGTAACCAATTCAGGGACATTAAGCATCCAGGTCATGACAATTGACGTTGCCAAAACGTTTGGCTGTCATTTAATTCATCAAAGCATGTGATTAATGTTCATGTGGCAATTGTCATCCGGCAGAAGTGGAAGGGCCTTGCCACCGGAAAACATCAAATGATTGACAATCACCGTTTGTTTCAACGTGGGTTTGTTTCAGCCTTTTTTCTCCTGTCAAGCTGTCATATGTCTCCTGTCCCCATCCGGCGCTGAACAACCACTCTGTTCAAGGTTGTTCAGCGCCGGGCTCAAAGTCTGGCGACCCCATTCTACGCGGTGCCAGCCACAATTTGCCAAGTTCAGGCCAGACTGGGACTGGTGTTTGTAGCACTTTAATCAACAAAACTGCAAAAATGCATGGTTTTCTTTCAAATTTCATTCAAATTCATTCAAATTTAGTTCAAATTTGCAAGACTAAAATTTGAACTAAATTTGAATGAATTTGAATGAAATTTGAAAGAAACATGTGTAAGGGTCACAAATTCAACAGCCCACCATGCTGGTCTGAGTTCGCAAGCGACTACCTATCTGATGCGGCTGCGCTGCAGTGGATCTGAATTGCCACTGTGATTTGTCAAATGTCAAACTGTGACACAAATTCAAATGAAGCTGCCTGATTCACCTGGTCTACGAACAATTATGTTCAAAGAGTGTCACGTGTCTCGTGGCAACCAGCTTTGTCATACGCAGCATTCACTTGCAGGTCAGCCTGGCGCGCAGTTCAAAGGCTCAGCGTCTCTTTGTGAGACCGTATTTCCGTGAACGCAAAAAGAAAAAATGCTGAATATCCAAACACAGTAAAGCACGACAACACGTGGAAGTTGCCTCACTCAGACGTCCTACAAAGCTTGGCAGCGGCACTATCCTGTCAGGGCCATGCGTGCAGGATGTCGTCATGAATTGAATCAAGCAGCGCATCCAGATTCCAAGAGTCATGTGTCTGAACACTTTATCACTGTTAATAACTGCCACCTTGGCTCAATCAAGGCAAATTAAGGATTAGCACCAGTGACTGGAATTCGAAGAGCAACCTGTTTGTGAAATGCATCATCTCAAGTGTCAATTATGAAACGCGATGAGTGTAATCCAACTCATTCGATATGTTCATAACGCTGCCTCTGACCAGCTGTGTCATCTGAATCCTGCAAACCATCAGAGATCTCAAAGATGCACTGGTTTGTGACAAAACCCAATCGTCAAGTTAAAGCGACTTCGCATTCTCACACTTACATGACTCACATCTGAATCTGAAACTCCAGCTGTAACTTTGACTCAGGGAGATGGCCAGCGATATTAGCTGTAGCTGCCTAGGCGTCAATCAACAAAAACCTACATCGCAGCATCATTCAAAATCAGGCGACATGTGGTGGCAGACTCAGGAGCCATCACTCGCCAAACGGTCACAGATCACAAGTCACTGGAGCATCAAACCCAGCTCTCTGCGCTGTTCAAACGCCGTTCGATTGCTCAACGTGCCAGCCGCCAGTTCCTCCTTGATGGTCTTCAGGCGCTTGCAAATGTTATCTGTCCGCTCAATGTCTTCGTTGATCCTGCGCGTGATTTGCATCAAATGTTTGATTTGGATCAGATTGTTCTTGAACATGAACTTGGTTTGACAGCGAAAATCAATCTAGAATATCAAATGAATATAAAATCGACTATTTTAAGCAAGGCGATCAACTACCCGAATCAAAAGAAGCCACAGCAGTCCGTCTGTCCTGTCAATGACAGCTGATGCATCACTCTTTCTCTTCTTCTCGTGGAAGAATGCCATCTTGCAATTGTCACGGCTGTGAGGTGATGCTTTGGTGCTCAAGTCAACAAATGACACGGACCATTGCAAGCTGCCAGCTGCTTCGCGCAAGGCGTCCTCTGGCGCGTACCACACATCCATCATCCCTGGCATGGGTCTGATGAACTTGGACGCTGTGGCTGCGTTCACTGACACGGTGACCATGCGGTTGCTGTCATATGAAATGCATGCCATGAGGATCACAGCTTCCTTCTTCTTCTCGAACATTGGGACTGCTTCATCAGGCCAATTGCCACCGCGTCGGCCAGCATGCCTCTTAGCTTCAATCAATCATTAAAACGCGCCAGCTACAATTAAAACAACAATGACAAACACAAAAATCACTGTTAAAGCAGAAATCAAGATTCCTCTTGAGCAGTGCCCACATGTCACGATGGTTGGCTGCTTCCATCCAGGCCCAGCACTCTGGCAACATCATGTCACACGTCTTTTTGTCAAGCGGCACGTAGAACGTCCACTGTGGCGCTGGTGGACTCGTCCCACATGCGTGGATCCATGGCCGCTCCTCCAACTGCCACATGGCAGGTGTCATTTGACAAAATGGCTCCTTCATCATCTTGAAAAAGTCCATGTAACACGTGAAGGACTCTTCCTGGTCACGTACCAGCGTTCCCTTCTTCAACCACTCGCGGAACGTGTCATCTGGCAACGTGACATCGCACAGCCAAAAGCCACCTGTCAAAAGGTCAGTCTTCCGCAAACACTTGGCCTTGTGCTTCGTGGCAGATGACAAGCTGACCTTCAAGGCATTGGCGTCCTCACGCACTTTCCACAGGGCAGCTGTCAAAGGTGACTTGTGGAGCCGCAACTTTAATGTCAACGGCCACGTGTCACTATCCTCAAATGACACATGACACATGTCAAAGGCATCAAATGACACTACTGATAAGTCACTGTCACCGAGACACCTCAAAGAACCAGGCCTCAAATTAAGTCCAATGCCAAATCAACATCAAGTTTCTGTCAAATGATCACTGCCAGATGGTGTTGCCAACCACGCATCCCACTGATCCTTCGACAGCACGGCGATGCCCACCGGAATCTGAGCAGCACGATTATCGTTCACCAGGGCCATTTGTGCGATGCAACAGGTGTCTGGCGAAGTGTCGTGAGTCAAGAGTCAAGTGACTTGATCCAAAGCGGTTGATGGCGGAAGAACATTGTTTCAAGAAACCAATCAAATCACATTCAACGCTGAAAACTGAATGTTTGGCAAACGTAATCAATCGTGATGTAGCTGCTCACTGAACCATGTTTGGAACCACCAGTTTCAGTCCTGCAAACGTTTTGATCGAACTCGAGGTTGGTCATCAACTGCAAGGCCTCTTGCAGGACGACGCCCGACATCACTGAGCTAAACATCGAACACATCAATAAAGAACAACGGCTAGATTCAAGTGGAACGTGTCACTTTTTCAACGGATGGTTGTGTTTCAATCAGCACGCAGCTCTTATTTCCAACATTTTTTCAACTAACTTTGCTGCTCAGGCACGCAGCTGTTCACCCACCCCTATTGAAGTTTGCTGCTTGGAGTCCGCGTTTGGCGGTCAACCGGAGTTGTCGCAGCATCTTGGATACATCAGAAAGATGATTTAAATTGATAACCCCACGCGGCAAGTTGTCGCGCGACATGTTGTCACGTGACACCACCTTCCACTTGCTCCCTGGAAGGCTTACCAGTGCATCAATAAACCGCTGCATCGATGAATGTTTCACATTGAACGTGTCACTATAGAGAATGGATGCCACTGTACACTTAAGCGCCGCTTTATGCGCAATCATGCACCCTGTCAAACGTTGAGAGTCTCCAGCGGCAGCCTCCCACTGGTCACGTGACACCGTTGACAACCCCAAGGCAATAGTCCCGAGCAGGATCTTCAGGTTCATGTGGTGCCTGCGCACAGCCATCAAAATCAGTGGTGTTGTTGACACTGATGAGGTATTAAAACAACTAATTTAACATTTAAAGGTGGCCAAGCATTAACTGCTATCAACAACATGCTTGAGGCCCAGGCATCTGGTCAGTGTAGCTGATGTCGCTCTGGTGGTCAACAATCACAAGGTTTGATACTTTGAGCGCATCGACGATGGTCTGTGCATTCCAATTCTGAGGCCGCAATAATTTGCAGCGGTTGAAAGGCGAAGCTGACAAGGTACATAAGTCAATTGCCACCAGCCTTTGTGGCAATGAGGCGCTGTCACTGTCGCGTGATGGTGCTTCAAAGATCTGTCCCTTCCGCAGTGGACCTCAACAACTAATTAAATGAAGCACAGCAAAGCCGTGAGAGTTGATGACAGTTGACTAAGCTCTACCTTTTCCGGTACCAATCCCAAACATCAATGATCAAACACGATAACGTCACTTATCGTTCTCCCACCACGAACACCCTGCCTGCTGGGTAGAGACACTTACCACTTCCTCCTGGCCGGTTTTCCAGGTGTTTCTTCTTTATGTCTGCAGACGCCTGCTTGAAGTGCTGATGCGCTTCGTTGAACAACCTGTGGTTCTCAATTCTCCGACCCTTCTTCACTGACCATGTATCTCGTGGCACTCCCAGCAACTGGCGGTCGACAGAATCACCCGCCACCAGTGCATCACGTCCTCTTTTCTGGCCACTTATGGCACATGCCTCGGAGCCAACATGGTGTCCACGTTTTGTACCTTTGTCAAATCGGGTCTTGTAGACATGGAAGCGCCGGCCGTACAGCTCAACCCACATCTGGCACATGTCACGCAAGGCATCTGTTGGAATGAGCTGTGGCTTGGGCTCACTCATCGGCATGCAAATGTGACGCGACAATTGCAATGTTGGCGTCTCTGAAACTCGCCTGTCACACAAGTCACTCTCCTTTTGCGGGCCATCAAGCATGATCTCCAAACAGCGCTCCAAGTCAGCGCAATCAGTCTGAGCAGCACCGCACTTGATGCGTGTCAAATGTGCAAGCTGTCCCAAGTCACGCTCCAACTGGCAGCTGCCAACATCCAGTGACAAATAAAGCGAAACCAACCGATGCAACCGCGGCCAACTGAAGCTGAACACAGTTTTCCAATAAGGTCTCCAATCCGTAATTGTGTCATTGCCAAAGCTGCGGGCATGTCTCTCGCGCAACATTGTCCTGAGCGAACTCACTGCCATATATGACATGTTACATAAAAGACATTAAGGATACATACCGCAAGGCCAATGAACTGTAACTTTAAAAACTTTCAAATAGTTGTAACAAAGATTGAGGTGAGTCCACCCAATTTTGCATCGCTGCGCCACAACTGGTCAAAGTGATTAATTGTGATTCAGGCCATAATAGTCCACGTCACTTTAAATTAAAAAGAAAGTCCAAAGGGCACTGCATCAAGGTACTCTTGAACCGCCGCTTGCAGCTCGTTGGACTCAAAGCCGAGCAATCCAAACAAAGTTCGCACACTCTTGCGCCAACTCTGCTTCGCAGCTTCTGAATCTAGCAGCATCCACCGCTTCACACTGAAAATGACAAGTTGCATTCCTTAACAACTACAAAGCGGAGACTCAACATGCTACAGAAGACAAAGCTTTAATCCAAAATAATTGGTCTACAGTTACAGGCCAAGACTCTCAAGTCACCTGACGGAAGCTCGCAAGAAAGACGATCAAGGAAAAGCTCACATGCCAGTTGAATCCCTTCCACCGCGTCTCTGATTCCAGTGTCCACCTTTGCTGAGCCATGTGGCCAAAGGTGGTAAACCTTGCCAGCCACGTGAATCTCAGGGGCCTGCATAGCATTGCGCACAGCCAATGCAGCACCTCTGTTAAAGAAGCGTCAGCATCAAACTACTCGCATTTAAGCTCTATTTTAATAAAACGGTTGCAAATCAGTCTAATTATCAAACTAGCCAAGGCACATGTCTGAATCTCATCTGGTCCATCAACATCTTCCAGCACCCTCGCTTCCAAAAACAGACGTGTCATCCTGATCCGAAAATCCTGCAACGTGTCTGAAATGGTCGCGAAGTCGATGTCTTTCTCAAAATGCCGCAGAAAAGCCATGCATTCTTGCATGTAGTCAGATGCCATGCCAATGGTCACAAAGAGGCTAGGTCGCAGCTCAGATAGCATGTGGTGGCACTTAGCACGTGTGCCGGGATCGTTCCTCACGTCGGAACATGTCATTGCAAGCAGCAATGCAATCGGCAATATCAAGTAGCAAAAGCGACCTTGATAGCCAATCAGCAAACAGTGTGAGTCAGGTTTGCAAACAACTCCATTGAAACACTATAATAGTTAATAGTTTATTAACAAGCAGCCAAGTTACGCTGAGGTGTGCTGGAGCTCTCCCATCGCTGCGCTGCAAATGACATGTGTTTCAATTTCGATTTCAGAATTCCTCCCAATGTGTCATCAGCCAAGAGCAAATGTTGCAGCATCGAGAGCCTCGCCCTCCACTCTGGTGAATACTGTAGCTGGGGCATTAGACACTTGTCACCAAAAAGTGTCTCCCATGCCTTTTTGTAAGCCTCTCCACAAAGTAGTGGGTCTCGACATGCCAAGCGAATCATGTGACAAGCATCACGGAAGATCAGGACAATATTGCGGCAATGTCGATCTTTAAGCACCCTGCCAGTCTTCTGGGCATATGGAGCACCGTCTGCTGTGAATGCTCGCACGTTGCAAATGATATGACTGTACAGAATCTCATTGCAGCCCTCGCCCAGCGGTGTGCAAAATCCACGGATGCCATCAGCTATTGAGTCAGCTGCCATGACACATTTGTCTTCATCCCACTCCTCTGGGTCACACTCCATCAGCACCTTCAAGGGACACAAGACACATAGCAATCCAGACTCTATCTTGCCGTCATTGTCACATGCCTTGTACCGAACAAGCCGGTACGGCTTCTTGTCGTCCACCGACAAGGTGATCGAGTTGGCACGTGACAAGTGACATCGTTTCTTCCTCCTGATGCTCTCCTGC